AATAAAAGGGGAGAGATTTTTAGAATCATCCAACCCCCAAAATTTTAAATTCATCTCTAGCTCCTCATACTATCTGCTGCTATGTGTTTCAACTTAATCTGCAGAGATTTCAGAAGTTCTGTCTGGCTCATCCTCAACATCTCTCACGATTTTGGAGAAAAAGACAAACACAAATACATATACATACACATATATATATACATATATATATATATATATATAGAGAGAGAGAGAGAGAGAGAGAGAGAGAGAGAGACTAAATTAAACCACTTGGCCAATACCTATTGTTGAAGTTCACAACACAACAAAATGGAAAGTGAGCATGATGCCAACTGACATCCAAATCATTGTACAAAAATTGTGAATTCATATATGTTACTGAAAAAAATTCCACTTCAGACACTGATTTTTCTTTTTGGAAAAAAAAAAAAAAAAAAAAGACCAAACCAGCAAACCATCTTTCTTCCAAGATATGGAACTGTGATAAAGTCAGCACTAGATTATTTTTTTGAAATTTCTTGTGATGGAATACAGCATTAGCATATTTAGAGTTAGGGCCAAGTTTTGCTATGACTAGTACAATTAGTCATCAGAATTCTCTCTAATCTCTGAGCTCTTCACTATTTTCAGAAATCTCAAAGATGTAAGAAAGTTGCATTTGAAAAAAATCCTCCATCTTGTCGAGTTGTGAATCCAGGTATTAACTAGCAAGTTCGGATCTGGCCAAAACACAAGTACAACAACATTCTGATGCTTAGAAGTACAAGGTAAACTACACTGATCATGTTCTTGCTGAAAGCCCTCACAAAATGCTATTAGCCTAGCATTTTGGTTATTTTTTAAGTGCTTGGCCAGAATTATTTTCCAAGAAACAATAGCTTTAGCATGTGCACACAGGAAAAGCAGAATACTACAAATACAACATGCTGTCACTACAAAGAAAAAACATTTTTTATAAAGCAGACTAGTAAAATGGAAAATCAAGATGTCAAACTACAACTAAATGAATCTGAAAACCAGATCAAATATTCAACTTTTTCATCAAACTGCAGCTGCACTTCAGTCAGAAGAAGGGCAGAACCACGACAAATACACCTACACTCCTACAAAATCACTACTGCCCTTCACTACATGCTTTTTCAATTTATGCAGTTTCCTACAATCTCCACTCATCCTTAAAAACTGCATCCCTCTACACATAGCTTCAGTCATTAACCTAAAATACAAAGCAAAATAATGTTTGACTCTTTCAAAGGGAGAGAGGAAAGGAAAGATTGAAGAAAAATTATAAGAAAAATATACTATTTCTTCTGGTCATTCTCTGCCTGGCTGACTAACTAAGCTGTCTGTGCACTTCTAAATACTCAGAAACGATTCTGAGATTAGAAAAGTAGTTTAACAATCTCTGTTCAGAAGTACCTGTACAAAGCAGACTTCAAAAATCAAAATTTGCTTTAATGGTATAAAATAACCATAAAGAGTAATTAATGGAATTAATGATATCTATAGTCAGATTCACATACTCGAGTCATGAAGAGCATGAAATATGCACCATATTAGTAGCAGTGTTTAATCATAAGCATTAACCATCAAACAGTTAGTAGGTCACTTGCTTCAGCAACCACTGAATGAAGAGACTGGAACAAATCCACTGTGCTAATTAAGCAAAATAACCATGGCAAAAGGCTTTTCCTGAAGATTGATGAGCAGCTGCCCACAGAAGGAAAGGGAAGGAAGAGGCTGGATCCAAGGTCATGGAACCTTGGCAGAAATTCAAGTCCAGTAAATTTCTCCTACCAAAACTGTTACTAGTATTACAACAGATAAATTTAAGACTGGCATTTTCTGGCATTTTTATACATATATGTGTGTGTGTATATATATATATATATATATGTGTGTGTGTGTGTGTGTGTGTATATATATATTCATTTTTAGGAGTGACATAATTAATATGTTAGAGGAATTTCTATAAAATAGATCATTAGAACTCTTCATACTTCAGTCAATGCAAAATAATGAGCAAAACAAAACCCATAAATATTTGTACTAGAAAAGTACAAGAGAATATATGCTGGGTTTGGGACAATGTTACTTAAACATTTTAACTGGAAATGTTACATTGACTTAGAAGACAAAGACACCTATAATTTACTGAATTTCATGAATTTGGGTTTTAAACACAAATATTTTAGCATTGCTATCTATCTATCTATATATATCAACTTTTTAATATGAACAACGGCATTGAAACTCTCATTATAACAATCCATACTAACCCCAGATCAGTGGATAATAAAGGTAACAGAAATGGTACAGAATTAAATGCGCAATTTGCAGATTAAGAAGTCAATAATCTATCTCACTTGCCTTCTATAGCCAAAGTAGAGAGCTCTTATAAAAACCTTACAGGCTTTCTACTTGTATTTAGAGCAGGGTTAGCTCCTATCAGAATTTAATTGGGTAACTATAACTTTAAAGTAGTCTGTCTGCCTGGAGCATAGCAGCTGTGATGGGAAGTGGGGAATATTACTGCATTATTTGGATAAATTCTCAAATAAAACTGTAAAGAGCCTCCAGTAATTACTGGACAATATGAAAATTCATAACTTGGCACTGGAACTTAATTTGTAAAAACTATTTGACTTGTTTATTGTGTGCACTTGTTTAGAGTGAACAAGCATTACAGTGATTTAAGCTACTTGATAATTAATGTACATATTTGTTTCCTGTTACTTTATGGAACATTTTTCTCTGCATTGAAATTACATGATATTCTCATTTTTTTCTAAAGCTTAATAATAGAATAGCGTATTATTACTTTGCTAAAATTACTTTGCCAGAAAGTTACATAAGACTATATAAGCTTGCTATACCCTGTAATAAAGTATCTTTCCCACTACACTCATTACATCAATTCCTCTAAGTTAAATATAGTAAAGTTTGTGCAATGCTTCAAAAAAAAAAAAAAAAAAAAAAAAAAAAAAGTATACTAAGGTAATACAAGCAGTCATGGTAATTAAATCAGCAGTTGAACAGTGCCTTAAACTAAGACCATGCTAGGAAATTAGCCCCAATCTTAAGAATCTTTGTAATTCTGTAATCATAAAAGCAAATTCTATCAGATTATTAAAAATCCTAAGTATATTTCCCATACTTTGCACAAATTTCTCTTCTTAACCCTATTCTATTCTATTCCATCAGACAGTTTTAGATTTAGCAGTCTAGCACTATTTGTTGAATATTCTGAATGCGGGCCCAAACTATTGTAATGTAGGTAGGAGAAATCACATTTGAAGCTAAATCTATAACACAGATTATTTGGGTGACGAACAGCAACTACATCTGGAATGAAAAAGTCTTGACTAAAACACATGCAATTTAAATGTACATAACTTGAACAAAACTACATACGGTATATACTCACCTCTGTTCTAACTCAGAAAGTCATCATGAGTCTAAATGTGTAACAAGGATTGCCAACAAAATTCTATACAAGTAACAAATTTTAAGATGAAAATCTTAAAATGAAAATCTTAAAATAAAAATCTTGAAGTAACAAGATGACTTTTGGCCTATGTGATTCCTAGTTATATGTGAAGCAGTCTTCTTTTTTTCCTACTCTCTTGCCTTTATATTTTCTTACTTCAACCCTAATACATTGTAAGTGAATTAGTGATGCACTGTGATGCCTTTCCCATGCCATGTTGTGCCACATATTAGTCAGCTGCTCAAGGGTTCATATTCCAAGAAGTAAACAATACTGTGTAACCCTTGAGTCACTGAAACATGCCACTGTTCAGCCTGCTACAGGGTGACTGCCTAGTTTAAAGGAATCTTCTATGTTACACTTAAGTGCAAACTTATGAAAAAAACATCATCAACGCAGGAGATGTGGTCATAATCTGCATTTGCAGTGACAATTCACTACCACTTCAAGTTTCACTAATAATACCATTTATGTAACAGATACATAGAATTTGAAAGTAGTCAGTGCTCATTACACCTTAACCTATGAATGCTGTATCTTTGTGGCAAACGAAGCTTCATAATTGAAATGGCAGCTGTGACAACTGGGTCAAAGCTTTATTTTTGGGACACAAAAACAATTAGTGGTTGTATTACAATTGAGAAAGGCTAAAACATTTGCAAGTAAAATTTTGATAACAGTCAGCTCATAATAAAATGTTCAATTTGACTTCTGTGCTTCCTAATTCTATTTTGTATGCAATACATCACCATTATGAATATATAATTGATCTTATTTTTTCTCAGAGCCATAAGTCTAAATGGTCACTCAAAATATTAAACATTTGCTTTTTTATGAGCTCTGGAGAAGTGACAAACCACAGTTTTAGAGTCCTGTTTCTTGCATGCAAATTGAGTAAAATGCTTTATATGCCTGTGCAACCTATTTCAGTCCTGATCACCACAAATTGGATACTGTGAGGAAAAGATTTCATGTCCCAACAGAAAGTTCCATTTGCATTAATCTCATTTTAAAACATCAGAGTAACTTATTTTCTCTTAAGCAAGAATCATGCTCATATATGAACACAAGAAATGAGCAACTAAAAAAAAAAATTTAAATGCTGAGTTTAAAACTTGTCACCAAATTAAGTACTCAAATTTTTATTTTGCACTTCTTGTATACTTCATACATAACAAGACTTACTAACCATTTGTTAAATCTGAAACAAGACTTAAATCTTAAAATCTAGATTTGGCCCCAGATTCAAACCTACATATGAGTACTGTTCACAACAAAATAAAATTATTACTCTGAATGTTTTCTTTCCATTTTTAGTTGTTTTGTGACATTTCATGTGAGAAAAACTTCAGGTGCTCCAAAAATTATAGGAAAAAAACAATCATTTTTTATACCAGGATCTCACTGCCAAAGTTATAAAACCACTGGAAATTAAGTGTTGTTAGAGGTAGTAGAAGAAAATTACATTTGGTAGTTTGTTCATCTACAACTGTTGTCTTCTTACTTTCAGGCAACATTTCGTATTAATGTGCATTTGCTGGTTATTCACACTGGACCACTCTTCAGATGTCAAAGTACTTACAGAACTTGACCAAATGACACAGTCCCTTGGATACAGTTGGCCTCATACTTACATGAATGGAAGTATCAACCACACAAAATAATGTCTCTCAGTGAACCCTGCTGGATATTAGTTTTGCCTGGTCAGAAGTGGTTACATTTTGCTTAACCATACGGAAAGATGAGTTGCATCTGCAACATTAAAAAATTTTCTGAAGAAAAATTCTTTCTAAAGAAAGCAATTCTGTTTGGTATTAATGGATGTAATTCCATCAGTAAAACTATGCATCAGAAATGAAAGTGCCCCAAAAAGTTATAAAGCCTGTTGTTTAGACAATATGCATGTAAGACATATGTAACTGACATAAAAAAGCTGCATCACTGATGGAGAGCTGACTGTCAAGTAAGAGCCATCAGGAAAGCCATAGACTCAAGCTGACCTTTACATTAGTTACTTATAAGCATAACTGTCTGCTTTGCTTCACAACACAAGGATTTCTGGATTCTCCAGATACAAAAAAATCTTTCCTTAAATTTGATATTTAATATCTTTTTCTACTGTTTGGATTGATCAGCAATTAAACTTGAAAGAGCATCCCTAAAGAGAACATGTCAGCTAAATGGATATACAATAACAACAAGAAGAACGAAAGGCTTAGTTTCTTCATTTGTAAGGTATTCATTTCCATCTAAGGAATACAACCATAGAACAGAGCTCAAATGACAAATGAAATGGGTCGCAAAGAAACACATTATTTGCAGACTTTAAACTGTGATTTGGTGGCCCAGCAAAACATGAAGATGCGTCCAGTGCTGCTGAAGAGAAACAGTCTGGATTCAGTCGATTTTATGAGACAGCCACACCACCGCAGAAGCAAATCTCAGCAAGTTCGTTTCAAAGATGATGGTATGAACACGAAGACAGAAGGTGTCACTGAACTAGGTACTAATCCAGCCCAAGATATTGCATTAGTGACCAGAAATAAAGAAGTAGCTAGGCACCACAATTTTTTGCTACAGTCTCCATCTTTTCCCAAGGCTCAGAAAGGGCTTCAAAATATTGCCATACAAACATCTCCTAGCCTCAGGAAACACTTCCCTGGTTTTAGAAGAAAAAAACTGGCAGTAAGCAAATCATTAACAGAAATGCCAACCGAGGCTGAAAATTGCATCCAAGCAAATGGCAATCTTTCTGAGCAAGACATTATGTCTTCAGACCTCTGTTATTTAAGAATAACTAATCATTTGGAAGATGGATTTAGGAACAGTAAGGTAAATGGTCAGTTAAGTCAAAGACCATCAGAAGCACAAAGAAACGGACCTATCCATACAGATGATTTCTCTGTAACAGAAAAGACAACTGTTTCTACACAGGTGCCTGAATACATTCATGTGAATTTTCCACAAAACAGCAATACTTCTACGGATGCACCAGATACAACCGTGAATTTAAGTAATTCACTACATTCTTCTACTATCATAAATAGCAATGAGAACAATGAAAAAAGCATGCTGTCATCTGATTGTGAAAAAATAAACCCTTGCCTAAACCATTCCGCTAATTACAGTGAATGTAATCCTCATTCTGACTCTTTTGAAGGAGATAAAAGTGACTCTGAGCTGCTTGTAGTCAGCACAGATGCAAGCAGTCAGGAAACTACGCCATTATCACTTCCATCAAATCACAGCATATCTCCTTGTTCCCTCAGAGACCATCAACAAGCAGGAGAGCACAAAACAGGTTCCAGCTGTGTGACACTAACAAATGATGATCACACAGTAATGTCATTGACCAGCAGTAATGCATCAAAATCTATTTCTTCATGCAATACTGAAATTGAGAAAAATTCTACCCCGTCTGATGTTTCCCAGTGTAACAGCTGTTTAGAAGGATTTCACATAAAGTCTTATCTGCCAAGGAATGAAACAGACCCACAAACCAACAAAGAGATTAGTGAAATAAATCAAATTCATCTGGCACATGGTGAACTATGTGCCCTACAAGGCAGGCTACAGTCTGTAGAAGAATCCTTGCTGTCGAACCAGGAGAAGATTAAAGTCCTTCTGAATGTAATTCAAGACCTTGAAAAATCCAGAGCCCTCAGTGAAGGGTACGGTGCATTTTAATATCGGTAATATATCAAAAATCTGAAGTAGATATTATCATTCTTTTAACCTTTTTTACTGAAACATCTTTCCCTGAAATATTCAAAGATGAGTTTACAAAGATGATCTCATTCAGTTTTTCCGATATTTAGGCCTCTACAGAAAAGCAAGTCTCTTTACAGCTTGGCTTTAATTAACACTGCCTTTAGTAAACTCAGTGTGAGAGACAGTTTATTAACTCTCTTTGTTATTTAGATTTATGGTGTCAGATACAATGCTACCTACACATGAAAGCTGGCAGCTTCCATCTAGCTAAACTCTCTACCTCGTGGAACAAAACCCAACAGTCTAATATACTAATGCAATACAACAAAACTACAGCAAGCCAGCTTTCTCTATCAAGGTCAGATATGCATTTAGTGCCAAGAGTCTTATTGCTGAAATAGTTTATATCAGCAAAAACATGTTCTGTTCAATAAATTAGTCCTATCTTCAAGAGCAAGCAAACATACTAGTGGCCAAAGCACAACATCTGCAGCCTGTTTTTGTTGGGGACTTCGTTGTTGGTTACACTTTATGATAGCACACACAAAATAGCTGCTTAAGGGGAATGCCTTTACAAGAAGAAAAGGAACAATGCCAGGTTACTTTCAAGATATTCAATGTGTAAGGAAAGTTTTGCAGGAGGTGGAGATTAGTGCTTAAAAGGGGTTAAAACTATGAATATACAGCATGAAGATTCTGAGCAAGAAATCTTTTAGGAATCTTAGATTTTAGAAAGACCGCTTTCTGTACTGTCATTAAGAATACACAATCTGTATTTATTTTTAGTAAACAGTGCCATGTCTATTAGCCAAAGCTGCAATGATTACATGTGTAACTTACTTATGCATTATAAATAATAATCATACTACCCATGTAATTCATGTCAGAAGACTGAAGAACTGAACTTTCATATGACAAAGTAGAATTTTAGATATTTTTATGCTCAAAAAAGATTTTACAATGTCCTAATAATGCTTTACAAAGCATTACCAGCAGTTCCAACTTGCAATAAATATAGCTTTAAAATGAATCCTAGATGTCTTTTATGATAATGTAGTACTTTCATCAAGTACTTTTAATCTTTGGGGAAAACAGCAAATAAATCTTTCAAAGAATCAAGAAAATCAAAGAATTATTTTTTTTCCCTTTAAAAACAAAACAAGACAAAACATTTTGAGGTCTAGGTTATCACACATTTACTTTCATACACAGCACAACTGGCTGAGTGTACTGTGTCTGGCTGGGAAGGTGTTTACTTTCCTCCCAGCAGCCCCTATACTGCACAAACCACAACACTCAGGCACCCAGATTTAATCATCTATGCATAATTGGTTTGTGCATAAAACAAAAGCCTTCATTTTAGCATCAAATCATGTGTATCAATACTATTTACTGACTACAGTTAAGGAATACATGTAGTAATCTTCACTCCATTTTCTTGCACCAAGTTTGTAATAGCCTAGACACAGCTGACAGAATCCACAAACAAACTGATAACAGGGAAAAAAAAAAAAGTTTTCTTTAGAAGAACCACAAAGGGGGAAAAAATATTCAAGTAGGTTCAAGTGCAAGCAGTCTAGTTTAAGCAGTCTAAACTACTTTTTATACTACTGCCACACAAATAGAGATCTTCAGGGATCACAGAATCACAGAATCATCTAAGTTGGAAGAGACCTCCAAGATCAGCTAGTCCAACCTCTGCCCTAACACTACCAAGTCCTCCTATTCCTTCCCCTATGTATACATGATATATCATGTATGACAGAGTGGACAAGCTTCAATTAAGTTTGTGTGTCTAACCATTAAAAAGAATAGCCTGCTGTAAAGCACACATTCAGCATTCTGTTTTTTTCTATTACCACATGGCTGAAAACAAAATTTTTGCCAAGTGTCCTGAAGTTTCTCAGAGATTCCATAATCAAGATCCATCCATTTTGCTAGAATCATCTAGCAAATACAGCAGCAAAACTCAACAAAGCAAGTGTTTCTGGAGGTAGCACCTATGTGAAAAGTCTCCCCTTTAATTCCAGGAAGAACCAGAAAATTATCTTGGTACCACGTCATTTGTTTTAATTCAAATAAAATGTATTTAATATAAACATTATTGCATTATTGAGATGTAAGGAGACTTCAGATTGTTTCTAATACAAATCTCCCCACGTTACAACTTATTCACCTCTAGTCACTGTTAAGTCCCTTACTTGTTTTCTTAACACTCTTCATTTGTTAACTGTTAATGTTAAAAATCTGAACTGTTTATACTAAAGTGAGAAGACATGAAAAGGGGAAAGAATGGAAAGCATATGGGTAGAAATCAAATTAATTCACTAAAAGCATAGATATTCAAATACTTCGAAGTGAGTTTATAAGCAGCAACAGTATGATTAAGTGTGGGGGGTGGGTTTTGTAAAGGAACCTTGAATTACAGAATTTGGCACTGAAATTTTTAATAAGAATAATAGAAATGATTAACATAACTTTCTTCATGAGAGAATCATAGAACTATGTTAATATATTTACAAGTACGCATTACATGAAACTACTGTCTATTACAGGCGCAACTTTTTTCACACTGGTCAAGACCTCAACAACTGCAGCACCTGTCAGAACACCGCATGTATCATTTACAGGTACCGCACTTCTCTGCACAATTTCCTGTTGTCTGATTATCTCTCACAAATTTACAATACTGTGTTCTGTTCACAGATATAAAAGGTCTGTTACTATTAATAGAATTTTTAACCAAAGACCAAGGGGAATATGTGAAGGGTTGCTGTTTTAACCATTTTTTCCCCCTCAAATACAGAATAATTAGGATTGGTGTTATCTGAAGTACTATACATCTGAGGCCTCAAATAGGAATTTCCACCAAAGTTTCACAGTGTTACTATTACCACCATGCTTTGAAAACATTTGAAGCAGCTCCTGATGATGAAATGCCCTGTATTACATTTTTCAAGCTGAGATTTCTGTAATAAATTTCGATTTTGGAAAAGATTAACACTGAGTTCTACAAATGCCAGTAAGCTACAGCTACAGTTCATGTTTATGTGCAAAATACACTAACCACCCAATAACCACCCCCACACTTCTCACTTCAGCAGATCAGCAGATGCTTATTTGTTTCTTTCTTCCTCCCTCACAATAAAAACAAAACCAAAAAACTTTGCTATACACATCACATTTTTCTATGCTGTATTGTTTTAACATTTATTAAAGGAACAAAAAAAAAAAAGAGAGAGAGAAAAACAAAACCTTAGTGGAAAATGAACTTGACAGAAACAAGTGTTGGAGTCATTAATTATGACCCAGCATAATTAATGAATGAACTTGACTTGAAAGATCTCCTAGAAAATTTTGATCCCTTCAAAGATATTAATATGTTCCTGAGATTTTACATATATACATCTTTACATTTACAAAAATAATAATAAAAAAAAGGGTAGGAGACTCTCTTTTACAGAGAAAAGTTTCTCTTCATTTCAAAGAGCATGGCAGACCATTAGCTTTGCCAGCTTGTAAGTACTATGCCTTTAAAATATTCTTTTAAAAATGGAAATAAGACATAGACTATATCCATATGAATGTGGTTTTCACACCACATTTTCTACTTATGCCAAATATATTAAACAGATTTATGTACTTGTTCTGTAAAGTCAGGGTTGGACAAAGCATTGGAAATTATCACCCAACATATAACTCAATTGAGAACTGATGTCCTAAACCTCTAGTAATGAATTGAATATTTATCCTTCTGAAAGCACTTGACATCACAAATTAAATCGCACATCTCCTCTGAGATAAAAATTGCTAGTCTTCTCCACAGTACATTGGTTACTGCAGGAAGCTACATGAATTACGCAAAACCATGGACTCAGTCTCTACAAAAAGGAAAACCTGGAACCATAAAGATTTCCTTTACATAGTCACCGCCTCTGAACAACCACTGAACAATCTCTGACCCTTTACCACAGGATATCTTCTCTCTTTGGAAGAAGAAACTAAGATGCTTACCCTCCCTTTCAGTTTACCTGGTTTTAATACAGAAGAGATTGTGATTGTATTTGAAATAAAGGACAGAAGAAACAGATAAACATTGATGTGCCTTTTGGTTTACTAGGTAGTTCTCGATGTTAAGGTTGCCTAGAGGTTTACAGTGCAATAGTTAGCAGAATACATACAAGAATACAGTTCCTGCTCTGAACAATTACTAGTGTTAAGAGACAAAACAGAAGACAGCAAGTCTTCTTGCTGTCTTCAAAACAGAAGACAGCAAGTGGAAACTTAATTGTTTCCACTCTTACAGAGATATCCCACAAGAGGCCGTTATAAAAGGACTTCTGATTAACTAGTATTTGAAATTCATTACAGATCCATTGGAAAACATTCTGAAGGAAGCGACTGTGCTCATCAGTTTTTGTTCTAGACAGACCCATGTAATTCCTGTTTCATGTAGCCAAAAAGATCGGTGCATGTATTTTTTCTATCCATGTAGCATCACTATTGTCATTAAATATGGAACTGTTTCACCTTCCTCCCTTTTCCTGCTTTTCAAGAACCTAAGTCAGTACTGAGTCAAACACAGCAGAGTGATGTGTTAGTGTCACTGAATCATCTTTATCATTTATCCTTTATCACCTAATCAGCAGGGTTATGTGAAGTGACTTGGGAATTGCATTCTAGACTCTATGACACATATTTGTATTATAATAAACAACTAAATATAGCAAATTAAAACAAGCAGTTATATCAGAATACAAGGACCAAGTATTAAATTGAGACCGAATTGATCTCTTGCCTCTAGAGACTTACCCCTCCAACATTAAATTTGAAACTTTGAAGAAGGGAAGAGAAAAGGAACATGAACAGATGCACTCCTTAAGTATAAAAGGAGTGTTCCTGATTTACGACTGAGGAGTACTAACTTGCAGTTTTAGCCCTAAGAGGATAAAATTGAAGACATGTCAAATTTGTTGTTTACATCACTTTCTTCTACACCTTATATTTATTATGTATTACTCCTTGTCCAAGAGATCCTTAGCCAATTCTGCTAAATTAGAATAATGATATTGCTTTGTTTGACAACTGAGTTACTTTATTTCATTAAAAACAAACAAACAAACAAACAAAAAACATTAATTGTAAGAGAAACAAGCTTCTAGTTAAATTTAACTTACAATTCAGCACTGTTTATACATTTAGATGCACATACACACACTTACAATTAATAGTGTGTTTTAAAAATATGCATGTTAAAAAATTTTAGACATTTCTCCTACTCAGTACCCAAAGCAGGATCAGAGCCTACATGTGACATCCCAGCATTCCTCAGATAGTAATTTTTTCCTCAAAAAAATGCTTGTTTTATGGAAAAAAAAAGCAAACAGTTTCTTCCTGCTCTCCATTCCTCCCACAAAAGGCTCCACTTCAGATAGTGCCAATATAAATCCCATTTACCTGACAAGAAAAGGTGTTTGAAATAAGGGATAGACATGCAGCATTGCTTCTTCTCATTTCTTCGTTTTTGCTTAACTGTACTGGTTGCATCAGACTCATAATTTTCCACACTGATTCTTTTGAATCTTACCTTTATTTCTGTGCACAGAGTTACTCTTATCATCTTAGCTCTTATTTGACATCAATAAATTATGACATTCCATACAGAAAATGAGAGTTGCCTTCTACTATCTACTTCCCTGTTAACTCATACCACCTATCTCAAAGGCATGTCTTTTCTTTTTTGGTCCCAAGTGGAGAAAAACTTCTCATGTTCAGCAAGTTAATTATATGAGAGTTTTGAATTCATGCCAAATATATGAGTGAGATCACAGAATCAAAATCTAACCACTGAATAAAATGCATTGAAAGGTCATCCAAGTACATTTCACTTCTCCCTTGATTTTTGGCCCATTTTTTTTTTCACAATGCTAGAGTTCTTATATCATGTAAAGAAAGGGAATTCCCTCAGAAAAGGTAAATAAATCGATTTATTTTCAAGGCTGCAACCTCTACTGCCTTTTAACCAGGCTCTGATATTGAATAATGCCAAGTTATTCTAACAAAGTAAGCACCTTTTCCACACATTTTTTAAAGAGGGAATTTCTCATTCACTAGCTTAAATCTCTTCATTTTCTTATAGCGTAGAATATGACTTCAGACAACAAGAAGGAAGATTTCATCAGATTTTGCAAAGACTGGAACATGAAGAGCAAAATCCAGCTTCAGCTTCACCTCAAAAACTATCATCTGATCATCCAGTTCCCGAGAAAAAGGAGTTAAGAAGAAAAACAAAAAAGGTGAAGAAAAAATGTTTCTGGTGGATTTGACTTCCTTACAGATCTTATATGGAAAAACTATTTTTATTTATTTATTTATTTATTTTTACATTTCGAAAAGCACTAGAACAGAAAGAAGTTTGACAGCACACATCTGAAAACATAGCTTTATGAATTCACAACACTACAGAACGTTTGTTTGATAAATAAGAACTGAATTTACTTAAACCATCTCGCTGAATAAAGACGAATGAAGAGACTATTTTTTGAAAAGGAATTGTAAGATTTTCTTTTTTTTCCCCCAATGACACTTTCATATGCTATAACAAAGACTTTTTTTTTTTAAATAAGGTTTAAATTTCAACTTTAAAAAGACAATGTTAGTCAAACCTACAGTCTTCATTTCCTATTTATAAGCAACATGAACTAAAGGGAAAGAACTTTATGGATCTTTAAACAAACTGCATAATCAAGAGCAAGTCCAGGGGAATTTACATTGTTCAAAAAAAAAAAAACAAATCTTCTCCCCAAAGGGGATAATTGTAGTCATTTCACATCCTCACTGACATGTATTTATTGTTGTCATCTATGATTTAACAACAACGAAGAAATTCAGGTTGAAATGTTATTCTGTCCTTTTATCGGTTCATTTTAAAGAGCAATCATTTAGAAGTTTGTCATTTAATAGACTTCTCTGGAAAGAATCTTAAAAATATACATAAAAAAAAAAAAAAAGGAATACCTTACTAATTCTAGTCTTAATTCCCTTCTCAAAGGAGGTCTAATTAGACGCATTTAAATTTCAGGTATTGTCAAAAGACAGAGAATTCAAAACATCCAAGGGCGACCTTTTCCAAAATTTGACCACCTCCACAATGAAAAAGTTTTCCCTAACATCTGATCAGAATTTGAAATGACTTGTAATTGTTATGTCTTGCCCTGTCCCAGTACACCTTTACTTCGGCAAGAATTAGACAGACTATAAGACCTTTCTCCTAAGGCTTTCACTTCCTGAAGACTGAACAAACCCAATTTTTACAGCCTGTCTCCATGTGCCATACACTGCAGCACTGCAGCCCACAGTCTGGGCACCCTGGTGGTCTCCCTCTGGACCATGCTCCAGTATGTTCATGCTGTACAGCAACACTGACCCGGTGCCACTACACATTTAAGACCTATACCACTATATCAAAATATCTTTTTTTTTTTTTTTTCCCTCATTAAGAAGAGTAAATGTGTTCATACTGGCCTACAAAATACAAAATCAGTTATAAAAATTAATATTTAACAAAATAATCTGTACTGCATAAATTTTCTTAAAAGTTACTCCAGTTGATTAGTTCAAATGGTGCCATGATATTAAATACATTAACCCTTAGATCCTCGTTTTTTAAACAAAATGTATTATTTGTGCAATATTAGTTTCACATATCTACACTTTTTGCATACTTCTGTGTTCCACCAGTTCTTAGGGTTAGCTATACGTCTGAAGACACCTTAAAAACAATTTTGTACTGATGTCAGAAAAGACCAGAAATGACAAAAACTGGTCACCATTTACAAGTCAGTAGGCTATGTTGCTGGTCTTAATTTCCCAAGGTTATAAAGGGTGACAGTTTTAAAAAACATGATACGTACAGTCAGTATGGAAATGACAGGTAGAAAATTATCATTACTTCAAAGGCTTTTAAGAAGAAAAGCTGTACATGAAATTTTACTAGCAACAAGTATGCCTTTAGTGAGCCAGGATAGCTCTTCAATAACAATTTGTGAATATAATAGAGATTAGAATTAAATTACATAAGAGCATGTCCTTACATCACACTCAAATACACATACTGCTTATGCTGGCATTCCAACAGCACTCCTATTTTGCATTAGTGTAATTGATATACTGAAGGATCTATTAGTGCGCAAAGGTTTCTTGTGTATTAAAATATCATTTTAAGATGAATATCCTTCTGGGGCAAAGGCATAATAATAAGTAATACCAGCAGGAGTAATACTAACAAAATCAGTACTGTTTTTTTTCTGTAGTGAGCTAATTTTCAATAACATGTTATTGTATGAAACATCTTATTGTCTTTCTCCTTGTCAAATAATAAGCACCAAACAAAGCTCATTTTAAGCTGCCTGATTTTGTTTTGGCTTGCAGAAATATGAGGCCTTTAATAAAGGCATCAAGAAATCCAAATTAGTGAATTTAAACAAACCATGGTACTTTGGTTTGCTACATAACAAAAATCAATTCTTGTAGTCAGTAAAACTATAGAAGTATGAAAATATCCTATTTACTTTGAGAAAGTCTATCCAAAAAAAAGTTCTAGTAAGGCTCTAAGTCTTTCTTATGATCTTAACAAACATCAATACTTCTAAAAAACTGAAATATACTTATTTAAATGGTTACTACTTTTTGTATTTTAGTGTCTGATCTTGGAATTCAGAACTGTACACAATTGTTAATCCTTAATGAAAAGGACGTGAACAGGACTCCTCCATCATCTGGCTTGCAGAAGCTCTGACTACCAGGAACAAAAAAATACAACTTAACCAAAAATGAAGTAAAAGTATGCCAGAAGTTACTCATACAACAGAATAAGTATCAAATTTTCACAATAAAACCAAACATACCAAATAAATTTTTATAGCCAGTCTTCTCCATAGTATGTTACAAAAACAGGCTTTCTATTTAAAATTTTGAAGACATTGGAGCAAAAGGCTATTTGTTACATTAAAAAGTAACAGTATAAGACATCAGCCACAGTATGTATCAACCACCGTAAGAAGGTAAGATTGCTTAGTTGGTTTATGTTTTGTTTAAATTTAACATAGATATGTTTGTCCTAGCCCCACAAAATATGTAAAAAATTACATATTCATAAGACATAACTGGAGCATCTAAACTATGTGAAAATGTAATTTCAATTTTAATTTAAAATATTTCAATAATGAATTATTAATTGATATACATAATAAAGTTAGATACACACTACACAACTGTATGATGTAAGGATTAGAAAACCAATTTAAATGGACAGATAATTAGCAAATAATGGTACCAGCTAAAATATTTTTTCTGAATTATAAAATTATATTGCAATGCCTGAAACTCCTTAGCTCCCTAAGAATTAAATGTTAAAAAACACATATGAATGCTCTTAAAAACAGAACAACAACAACCAAAAAAAACCACCACAGCTACTTGATAGCTCTTACACAAAATTCTGTAGGCTTCTCTGAAAAACATATATTTGACAACTACAGTGTGCTATTTATAAAATATTGTACAGCACATAGGCTGACTCCATTAAAAAGGAATTTCAAATAAAGTAATTTCAGAATATGCTAACTTTCTTTAAAAGTACAGAATGTATGAAAAGAGTAATGATTGCTGTCATGTATCAGCAGGTCATACAAGGTTCACTGTAGCTCTTCTGAAAAAGTCACAATACTTAGCAATTATGCTATCTTAGATACAGATTATCTTCATAAAGAAATGTATATAAAATATAAATTGTATACATTTTTAAGTTATTTAGATTTTATTTTTCAATAAAATTAGATTTTTCTTAAGTTTCAGAAGTTGATTAACAACAAACAGTATTTAGATTACAATGGAAGTGAATAATTAATTGTTCTTTAGAAAGGAAAAATAACTGTGAAATGACTGAATGGTTCTTTCATGAGATCATTCTGCAGTTTTTATGGTAGAGAAAGTTTCTCGATCTAAAAACTGAATAAAAAAAGTTTTTAGCTAGTCTATCTGAACACGTTGAATTTTCCAACCATGTCAACTCCTCAGAATGGTTCCTCTAGTCATTATTTCCCCAAATAGTATAGTTTTCGCAAGAGTGTCCTATCTAGAGTAGCTCTGGTTAACAGCTACAGGCTTTTCACTTTTTCCTTTTTTTTTTTTTTTGAAGAGATACTGATTTTCCCTCAAAATATTAGTTGTCCTTTATGTCCAGAAAGATAACTTCTAATCTTGCCTATCACTGAAAAATAATAATTAAGAATCTCCACCTGGTGTCTTTACAGCAAAGTCATGATTTGTAGAATATTTTATACTGATACTGTCAAACAACTTTTCTACACAGAAAAGTCGTTCTACACAGAAAAGTTGTTTGACAGTATCAGTATAGTAAAGTAGTTTTCTACATCCTCTTGACCATGTTAAACTGACAACGTGAACAAAGTCCAGTTTGGGAGTACCTAAGGAGACCTTTAAAAAGTGTACTGTGCATTTACAGTATTTTTGGTTACATAAACAAAATGGTACAGAAAACAACTAATTCCCTATTCTACATACAACTATACATTTTACTTGTATAATTACTGAAGTAGAACTTGACTGAAACACTACGTCTTTTAACAGCCTAAACCCTTGTAGAGACTCAGATCATGAAGAACTAATCTCACAACAATAATCTTGTCCTTCCTTATTACAAGTTTAGAAGCACTTCAAGAACAAACACTTGAGAGTTTTGTTTATTTGTTTGTTTTACTAGTGGAAATAACCAAGACACTGTTAAGGCCTTTAGTTGCCAAAACATCACAATGAAACCTTCAGCGGCATTTAAGTCTTCTCTGCCATAGCTACAGATAGCCAAATTACTTTGCCATTCCCACCAACTTCTCCTGAAGAGATCTTGTACTTCTTAGCCTGACCCTTTCCAGTAATTACACCAACAAAGCTTGCAGCATGTTGTTACCAGCTGAGCGCAAGGCAGAGTCTTCCCCTAGGTTCAAATGGCATTGTAGCAAGCAAAGATCAAGGCAAACTCTAAGCCAAAACCCCTTAACTCCCTGTCTGCTAACAACCTAGAAGATTATGAAAACCTTATCCCTGCCAGAAGACAGAACACTCAGGCAAATTGAATCCAGTACTCTAATCAGCTTCAGAGCATTTAAACTCCCAAAGAATCTGAGGTCTTGTAAACTGTAACCATTATTCTCAATATTAGCAAGATGGTATTGGCATTGTTTTTCACACAATAAGCGCTATTTTCAAATTGTGGAAAATTACACAGCAGAAAATTAAAACACTTGCAATATTCAGAAACACAGCAACAGATCAAAGAATCTGGAGCAGCCTTCTGTTCCCTAAGAGCTGTAGTCCAATTTGAAACATCACTCTGATCCATAAAACATCAGGTGCAAATTAATACTAAAACCAAGAGACTGACTGCAGCTATTCCACATCCCACCTTTATTTGCAGAGCTCATCATACTTTTAGCAACTTGAGCTCACCGAAGCATTCTGCAGAAAGCCTCACTTCCTAACTGTTTCACTTAAGTTTTGCCATTTCATGAGCTTTTAAAGCTAATGTGTAAAATTAAGAGACTGAACTAGAAGTACTACACAGAATATGACATAAGCTTGTTTTGCTCATTTTTGTTTATGAATGTAGAAGAATAATTTGTTCATTACAATTTCTTCATATGTAAAACGCTGTCCTGCTGAGAAGTCTTGCCTCAGCTCCAGAAAACTACTTGTAAATTTTGCTTCAAAAAATCTCTAAAATGCCCAATACACACATACACACAGATGATGAGGATTATTAACATTCAGACATCCAAATTTCAAAAGTCACGATTGATTTGATCTTTTTAAATAAAATATATGAACAAATCACAGGAGAAAAAACAACAACAAAAAAACAGATTTAATCTGACTGCAAGCAGCTTGTTTCCTACTGTTTCATGACAATTAAGATACTTATTATGGGATTATGAGAAGTTTCATTTTGCTTCCTCATTTACTATTCACAGTATCCAGAAATACTCCTTAGTAGATTGTTTATATCATCCATATAACTCTTATGACACTTTCTTTGTAAGTCCAGAAAGCGTTTTCAAACACTGTAGATAACTGACAAGCTCATTGCGCCTTCATTCAAAACCTCTTCCAGTTATGACCACACATACTTACTAGAGAATTGCACACACACCACACCAGAAGTCTGATGCACAGGTAATAATATTTCTGAAATTTTCAGATCTACTACTAGAATATTTCAAGCAACCACTGGCAAGACCATTCAAACCATTCAAATTCTCCTCTGAAGAATGAGGTTATTAGGAGGCTGATTATTTGGAGACAACCATGCTCTAACTGGATCAAAAACTTATTTTAATTTTCCAGAACAAGGCAATACAGTGCCCTTCCAAAGACATGCAATGTCCTTCTTGTGGTTGAAACAATCAAATAAACGTTGCTCATGATTTTACAGAATAATGTAGTTCTCTAAGACTAAAAAATAATACACATTTTCTCTTAAGTGCATAGTCGGAAGGACAAGTTCCATAGTTCCTTCTGAACACAAATGACTTGCATTCTCAGAAAGAGTCCCAGTCAAGAGAAGAGTTTGTGAGATAGCATACTTAAATCTGAATAAATTGCAGAATCTGTCCTTGAATTCAACTTTTAAGCCACAGCATAACCACAAAAATTTTGGGCACGTGCTCGTTTCAAACATATGCCCGGATATTTCCCCTGTGCGCATAAGACATCAACTTCCTCCTACAGAAACAGCCAAGAATGGCAATTGTTCCACAAGCAACTCAAGCTCACCAAAAAAGTAAACGCTGTGGAAAAACTAGAAGAAACAGAGCAACCAATTAGATTATTTACATAAGACAGCAATTAACTTTAGATGTAGGGGATTTTGTTTGCTTGCATTTTGTTTTTATTAGTCGTTGTTTTATAAAGCACAGATCTCACTTGCTGTGTTCAACTAAACATTGAAAAACACTATGGCAGCACAGCTGAATGAAAAAAAAAGAGTAAAGCTCTTAATTTTAAATCTATAAATGTGCACAAGCAAGGTCTCTGAAAATATTGTATTTGCGTTTTTACAGGATAACGATGAAATGAGTTTCAAAGCACTAAAAATACTTTAAAATATTACTCACAATTAAAGGATCATCTCGTCTCATTGTAATAACAGTTCTGTTCACTGTGCGTAATAACTGTACCATTATTTCTTGAATATGGTGATAAGTTGATGCCTGTAAATGAAAAAAATGTATATTTTGTATTAAATCTATACCTCTTGTAAAAGACAAAAAAATTGATTTCCATGTTGAAAACTGTTTAATTTAACCACCCTATTGAAAGAACAATACTAATTCTTCTTGCTTGCACTGCTCAATTATTCCAGTAATTTCCACTTGGCAGACACCGGTATTAGTTCTATGCATCCCATACCTGTTTTTTGTTTCAGATCGACACTGCCCATCTCTTAGTCAAGGAACTTGTTTCTTTTCCCAATAAGTAGACTATAATTTAATAGCAACACACTGGCAGCAGATAATTGAGGTGAATTGAATCACAGCTCTCCACATCTGCCAGTGGTCCTTGGCATTGTTTGGACGTGAATAATATTCTTAGCTTGAGGTCAGAAAGTATGTAATTATTAGTGGAAAATGTTATCTTCACTTCACTTTGCAGCTCTGTGAGGACAGAAAGTGGTCTGCTCTTTGTCCCTACTGCCAAATTACTGGTTTAGTTGAGTCAACTGAGAGTACATTAGAGACCCATCAGGTGTCAGCACCATGGTGTGAGTGAACTTTGAAGCCCAATGGCAAATAATCACCAACTTGGTTCAAATGATCAGTAGTACCCACGTGTTGCCTGGAAAAGGATATTAGGTGATTTAATTTAAAACATTGAGTAGAGGAGTACAGCCTTATACCTACCAACTTCACTGTGCTTACTCTGCTCACTAGACAACTTTAGAAATTAGCATGTGATATAACTGAGGAAAGAAAAGCTTTAAAGAAATTTCTGCTCAGACGAATAAAAAGTTAGTATACACCAAACAAGATGCCTCTTTTAACATATGAGTAGCCCAGATGGACAACCACAGACGCCATTGGGGTACAATATGTGAAGTGTCTGAGCTCCAATACCACCCCAGAAGAAGCTGCTTCTGAATTCATGCAATGACTTTCCTCATACCTGGAAGTAGGACTAAATGGGGACAGTGTGTCCTTTCACTTATATTGTATATTGTATGTTGTGTCCTTTCACTGTGACACATTCAAGCCTGTCACAGCATTTACAAAGTTTCTAGATAGTACCTACAATGTATTCACATAAAAAAAAAAAAGTATTATATCATACAGTATGTTGGAGCTATGTATTTTAAAACATTGGAAATATAAGAGTGAAATTAAAACCTGCAGTGTATTTCTCCCCAAATCAACTCTAAAAATTAATCAAACATTGTTCTTGTTTCTGTTGCCTTTAATATTATTATTTACCAGAAAAAAAAAAAAAATATCTGAGATAAAATTGCATTTTTGCCCAGTAAAACGTAGCTGCTGGCTGTTAAAAGAAATGTGTATATATATATATATACATAAAAGACTTTGGTTGATATTTATATATATATATAAAGGATTATACAGAGGATAGAAGACTTTGGTTGATATATATATATATTTATATATATTTATATATATTTATATATCAACCAAAGTCTTCTATCCTCTGTATAATCCTTCATATATATATATATAAATATCAACCAAAGTCTTTTATCCTCTGTATAATCCTTCATATATATATATATAAATATCAACCAAAGTCTTTTATCCTCTGTGTTGCACAAAAATGGTCTTGGTCATCTCAGAGTCAACATCTTGGGCTCATGAGTAATCAGATACTAGCAGGTATAAAACCAAGTTATTTACAGTTTCCAACATGAAACTACTTCCTTTTTCTGTAAGATCTCACACTGAGCTGTCCCACACTGATCTCGTATAGTTATGTATTACATACACTAAAACAGTAACCAGCATATGTCAACAGATTTTGCAAATTAAGTAGGAGGGTGCTAGGAGTCACAATATTATTTCAAGACAAGCATCTACAACATGCAGTGAGCTCTAACTTAAAATTCACTGAAGCAACATAGCTTAGTCCTCCTGATGAAATGTATCAGCACAATTGATCTCTAAATAGCAAAAGGAAAATCCAACCTTGAGGCTGGGTTATTGAACAGTTGGCAGCCCTTGGCATCAGAATATCTTTAAAAGCAATTTCACTTTTTGGATTTACTTTTTTTATACGGTTAAAAAGCAGTTTGAAATATTCTCTGTATAACAGTATAAGTTGTATTGGACTAACATGCCACACAAGCTACTTTTACCATCTCAAATATTTCTCTTTCTGAAGACTGTATTAATGTATTACAAATGCATTTAGCTGGATCACAGATTCTTCACTACCATTTCACATTATGACCATGAAACTGAGAATTAGGGGCAGAGCATAAAGGGCAAGAAAAATAAAGGATATCAACTCACAAGAAGCTGGAAAAAGGAAAAAAGCAGACAGACCAGAACAAGAGTGAGGAAGAAAAGAAACAACAGGAAAGAAAAATGCCACCAAGGTACATGAAATAGTGTAATTTCTTGGACGGGGAAACATATAGATAAGGTTTGACCTTACCCCTGCCTTTAGAGCCTAAACACCACCACCTCATCAAATCCTGCTCTTCCACTGGAAACGCTAATGAATACTACTGAAAAAAATACCCTATTCCACTCAAGTATGGTCATTATAAGAATTTATACGTTGTCTACTTAACAAATATAACTTACATTTAGTGAAAAAAATGGAGGAAATTAGCAAAAAAATGGAGGAAACAGTCAACTTTAGTACACAGACATGGAGATGTTTGAGAGCTGTGCAGTGAAAACCATTTTCTTGCTACAAGTACTTGCTGTTTTCAGTGATATTTCATGTTTCTGTCAACAGCATCCTGTTTGTTCTTTGAACTTGAATGCTTTCCGTACTCACTAGCACTGTTGTGATATAAAACATCATTTCCAGGAAATAATTAGGATGTGTTTAACTACACTCTGGATAAGTTTCTGACACATCATCAAAGCCTACTCCTGATGAATGCAGTTTTACTTACGAAGGTCTAAACAGTTTTTCTGTTTTGTTTTCAAACCTTTTTGTTGTATATTTTTCTTGAACTCTAACAATAATGACAGATTTTGTGTACTTCACTCCAAAAGCAGTTTGCCACCCTTTCTTTCAGTATTGTATTTATTAAATAATTCCAAGGTTTGCTTTGAAGTGTAGAACATTTGTCACCCTTGTGCATGGGGGTACCAGTTAAAAGTTAGCATATTGTTTCAAATGTTCTCAATGGTTGAAGGAAGGCATCCTAGTGCAGTGGGAGGGGGGGGGGGGGGGAGGCAGGGGTGGGCTATGGCTCGTCACCTGTCATAAAACATATGACAGTAGAGGAAAGGCGAAGCAACCTGGAGTACAACACAGGTTTATACTATTATACACCCTGCACCTGCATGTTTGTTTCCTAAATCAATTGGAACCCTGCTACAAATGAAGACATAATGTTAAGACCATATATAACTCAACCTAACTCCTGTACAGTAGTCATCAGGAGCTGCAGGAGGAACCACATCTATCTACAGGCTCACTCCTCTTGTGAAGCATTCCTTACTAATGCAGACATCACCTTAATAGCCTACATAGCCAAGTGGCTGGCTGAATATTATCAGTACATAAAAATATAAATAAAATAAAAATGCAGGCTTGCAAAAATCCTAACTTAAACCACAGCACCTTTTCATGTAAAAAAAAAAATAACTTCAATGCAAAGATTTTATAATCTAGCTTCACTTTCTTCCACATTTCAGCATATGCTGTACCATTATTACTAATAATAATTCAGAACATTACATAATGGTTTTAACATTTAGCCTTGACTCCATTGTTAAAGATAAGTTCTATTCTGAATTCAGAAGTAGTGTATCACATACCTTTCCTGGAAAGAAAATACAACATATGCTCAAGCATGCAAAAGTCTGAATTTTCAGAGAAATGAAAGGACATAAATTAGAACGGTTTCTTTTTGAAACAGAGTATGCCTTTCCTCTTGATCATCTTAGAAACAATTAAGGATTCAATATTGACATTTCATATATTGCCTAAGTGCAAGATTTCAGCTTTTATTTTAACTAAGATTTTCTAGTTTGAGAAGACAGTCTAGCAATTCACTATAGACAACGTGTTTCCACAGATCAGATTTCACTTCACATGGGTGACATACTTTCCAGGGAAACCCGGAAAACTCACCATTTGACTGCAGTCTATTTGGTTAAATCCAAGATTTTTCAGAAGCCAAATTAATGTACTTGTACCATACATAAATGCTGCTTTAGAAAACAAGAATTGTATTATTCCATTTAATGGTCATCAAAAACATGCTTGACTTACGTGTTGAAAAGGATTTGCTGAGTGCCCAAGGAATAAAACAGTCAAAGCTCATTCAGGTTATTCCAGGCAGCAGCAGGAAGTTTTCTTACAGAGTTCAACTACCTTCAGATGCATTGATAGGATGGGTGATGGTACACTCAAGTTGGTTAATAGAAAACCCAAACCAAACAAAATCTCACTTTCTAAAAACATCTGTGCAGGGTAATAACAGTTATTGTTGGAAATAACTTTCATGTTCTATTTAAACTTCCACAGGGTGGGACAAAAATTAGAACAAGTCTGTTGTCTCAGAGTCAACTGTGTACCTTAGAGTGCAATAGAGATATCAGTTATTTGGACAGGGAAAAAATTGAACTAACTGAGCAACTCCTCCAGAATTATAAAACTAAACAATCTCTACTTGAGACACCCACTTGAGTTCTCTCTTTGGTCAATTTGTTTCAGCTGTACCAGCTGCGTCCCCTCCCAAACTGTTGCCCAACCCTAACCTACTCTCCCTCACAATAATGACAAACAGAGAAGGCCTTAACACTGTGCAAGCACTATTAAAGAAAAAAACAACAATGAAAATTTTAGTTATTGACACTGTTTTGGTATCAAATCTAAAACGTAGTGCATCATATGAGCTGTCATAAAGAAAATGAACTCTACCCCAGCCAGACCCTATGTCCTGTCTTAAGCATCCAGTTCTGTGACTTCTATACAATTCCGAGGTGTTTCCAGACTTGTTTGCTAACATAATCAACAGCTTAAAATGCAGCTGACAATTACTGACTTTGTGAACAAAATAGGAAACTATTAT